CAAGCCTGTGCTCGCAAATAGGGCTCGTCATGGTAACCGCTGAGTAGGCATGCGGAGCACATGCGAAAACCACTGAAGCCTCCGCACTGAAATGAGGTTATCAATCGGTCGGCGGAGGTCGTTAGATCTGAAAACTCGCCGACGGACTTCCTCATTACTGATGTGATGCTGCCATCGAACAACAGCAATGCTTCGCACGCAGCGGTGATCGAAGACAGATAGCCGCTGAACATCGCTTTTGCAGACGGATCAATTCTCACAGCCGTACAGCAAAATCGTTCGTACCTGCGCATTTAGGTCACCGGAGAGTATCACCATATTCGTGCGGTGTTTATTGCGGAGGAGGTCGGTGAGTTGGCGGTAGAATTCGTCTTTTGCTTCGCTTTTGGAACGCCTATGGTCCGGTGGTCGGAAGATCGCACTGAACTTTCCAAGCGGACTGCACAAAGACTTCTGTTGACTGGGAACCAGTCAATGAGCGCCGCCCCAGCACGCGCGCTTAACGCAACTTCTACGCCGGCGCAACCAGAGGCTGCCGCTGTTGCATCTCCAGATAAGCGCAAGCTGAATGAGCAATTGGAACTTGGGGAGGGTGAGAGTAATCGCAGCGTTGTGCTGGGCTTGTAAACGGGTTTCGGTTAGGCAGCAAAGGTCGATTGTGAGGGTGCGCTGAAGAGCAGCTTGTGAACCAATTTGCATGAGCGTTCGAGCACTGAACGTAGCTAGCTTGAAGAGCGAGCGGGATGGAATAAAAACCTTGCTGTTGGTATTGGAATGTGTGCGATCGGTTTTGAGCGGTTCAATGATGAGGCCAAAGGTACGGTTTTTATTTGTAATGCACTTTTGGAGACTCGAAATTGTAGGGGGTTGCCAAGAACAGGAGGGTTGAATAAACGTGGAACGAAGAAGGTGGTTTGCGGTGCGGTAGAGTGAGGTTTAGCATGCCCGGCCGCCAGCACCCTGGTCAAAGAGAGAGTTCATAGAGCGAAAAATGTGAGCAGAGTTGTAAATCCATCATTTCATGTGTTGTTTGGGCATACAGATTCCCGGTTGCCCAGGCCGAGGTGATGTTGTGATCCAAAACAACAAGTGACACATGTTTAACACACTGTCCAGCCTTCTGCCTCAGTTTTGTTGCGGAGCCTAATGGGAGGGACTGGGGCTTGCTCTCTGTCACGCCTTTTTTAAAGGGAGCGATTTTGGTACTTTTCATTTGTTCAACTGATGTCGCGAGCCTCTCGCATATCTGAGATAGTTCATGTACAACATTTACCAGTGGGATGAACCAACATACAACAAAGAACCAAAAAGATGCTGGTTTGTCATTGTACAGTTTTAGCTGATTTAGTTTAAGCTTAACCCACTTAGCATAAAACTTGCTGAGACAATTGGAACATAGGATCCTTATTTGCAAATTTTTGGTGAGGGAAAGCGACATAAAATTTTCATTCTGGTTGTGTATGGGTTGGAGTCTCGATCGGTTATTACGACCCTACTGCGTCGCCAGTCTGTTAATCAATGGCATTTAAATCAATGGCTGAGCCCTCAAATGTGACGCAAGGTCGTTACGCGCGGCTGTGCGTCTGTCCGTGTGCGGGGAATTGGCTGTTTTCAATGTCGACACATTTGTAGCACGTTTCGATGCGTCAGGCGTCTTATGGGGTTGATTTAAGCGACGGGCCGTTCGCTCTGAGGTTTAAACAAAGCGACTGAGCAACAAAGGACAAAGAATGTCCGGGACTTCCTAACTTAGCGGTGGAAAACTATGGTTCATGGCTCATCGTGTAGAGCTCGATTAAGTTCTAGTTTGAGACCACAAATGTTGCCGTGTGGTTCGGGATGAGAAAACTTCGCTCGTATGTTTCAGAAGGAAAGGTGCAAAGGTTAGATCCGGAAGGTGAAGTGCACTAAATAGGGCCGGTCAAACTGGATCGAATGAGTGCGAGCATATTTGTGCACGACGAAAATTCAGAGGATAAATCCGGTTTGAGTAGGAGGTCAGAAATAAGGTGACCGCACGCAAGCAATGCATCCGCACATTCTTGCCCTAGAGTTGTCATGCGCTGATAACATAAGGTTGCTGAACCTACTGCAGAGCTTAGTAGCACCTACTTGTGGCAGTGTTATCTTTATGGCATCGCTGATAAGGAAGGGAACAGTAAATCTAGGTACGAAGAAGAAAAAACACATTAAAACTGATGGATTCGTTAGATCGAGCTGATAACATAAGTTAACAGCAGGATACGGCGAGAACAAGGCATCGCCGGGAAACGCTGCGTTGGATATTCAGCTAAATTTGACAGACTGACAGCAAATGATTTGATGACGATACTGAGTCGAGGAAATATTAGCAGAAGGCCACTACGGATGTTATTGAATACTGTATTAGAGAGCAAGTAGAAATGAATTCTGTATAACTCTTTCGAAATGTGGTGAAAAAAGCTATAAAAGTTGTCAACCGTGAATACCGTTGTCGTTCTCATGTAACATGTAAAATATCTGACTTACGATGCTTCAGGACTCACAAATGTGATATGTCATCGTAAATGTGCAATCGTTCTCTGAATCGAATAGTGGTAAACATAAATCTAACAACGTTATGAACCGCTGCACAGATGTTGCCTCAATCACATGTTCAGGTAAGCTGTTCCAAATGTCTACCACTCTCCGTTCGAAGCACAGTGGGTGGGGAACACATTTCACATTCGGAACGACAAGTTTGTATCTGTGTCCGCGGGTGCTGCATGGCTCTCGTAAGTGCAGCATTGGCCTCAGCATGGGGAAGTCACCGAGAAGTAGCATACCGTAGGTCATAATGAGGTCGACTCGCACCCGATGGTAGGACAAGGTGTAGATCCGAGTTTCTCCCACCGGTCTTCATACCCCAAGCCACGTATACTCGGGATGAGCCTGGTAGCAACATGTTGGACCCGTTCGACCTTTTGTGCCTCGCCTCGGTAATCGGAAAGTAGGCGGGCGAACAGTACTCTAGCATTGGTCTAATGATGGGAGAGAAGAGGCAAGTGGCAACCTCTTCAGACCATGTTCCGAAGCTACGTTTGGGCGCACAAAGCATGCGCAGTTCGTTATGATATGGCCAGTTCGTGTTGTCCACGGACTTCAAATCGTAGCGCGAGAGTACTCCTAGATACTTCACGGAGGGCGTGAGGTATAGCGGTTGGCCATCAAGGCTATAGGTTCGGCCGTCAGAACCCTTTCCCAGGCTCATAAATGCAGACTTGTCTGGGTTGACCGGGAGATGAACTGCTGCAGACCATGTGGCTAGGCAGTTGGGGTCTTGCTGAAGTGGGCCACAGTCATCGGGAGCGTCAATTTCTCTCCAAATCTTCATGTCGTCCGCAAACAAGGCATACGGCGACCGGAGAAGCTGAGGTAGATCGTTGAGGTGGATCAGGAACAGAGTGGGTCCCAGCACAGTGCCTTGAGGCACGCCACTTGTAGAGGGATACCAGTCAGTTAGATGGTCGTCGACCTGTACCCTACACTTTCGTCCAACAAGAAAGTCGCGGATCCACCGGTGCAGTGAGCCACCGACACCACACATTCAGAGTTTGTGAAGGAGAACTTCATGGCTGACCTTGTCGAACGCTTTACTGAAATCGATGAATATCACGTCGACGGACTTCCCCTTGCTTATTGCCATCAACCATTCATGCCTCGTCACAAGCAGGTTGGTAATGCATGAGCGACCTTGCATAAAACCGTGCTGTGCGGGCGTCAGGACCTCATTTGACTGTAGGAACTGCAGCAATAATGATGAAAACGATTAGGCAAACGAAGTGGATTACTTTAAGGAGAGCCTTGAAATGAATGTCAAGAATTCGGTCGAGAGAATGGAGAAGTCAATGGCACCAAGTAAGTTAACGTAAATCAGCCGTGCTATCAGGCAAAATACTGAATCTGACTATCGTTGCAGGTGTGCGAAGCCTAAGTCTGCTTACTGGTATATGATCCGTTATGTTCATAAGGCGAAAAATTATATTGTTCCAAACGTCCGCACCATAACGAGTGGAGCGCGCGTACAAACTCAGGAAACCGGTCATTGCACTTTGATGCTAAACAACGGCTAGTTGCAAATAGCAATTCCTCAGGTAGAATGGATATCGAATAGATCACATCGTCAGCGTTCAATGCTGTACATTTCCATCCTCGACTACTAGTGGTATTGGAACATATGTCAAACCACTGATCAAACCTAAGTCTGCTATGGGAGAGTGCAACGAGCAGCACTCTCAACTAGTGACAAAAACCGTTTGAGCTCATGTGTTGATAGGCTTATCAGGATTCACCCAAAAAGACTAAGCCTGCACGTAGTGGCTTTGGGGTCATCAAATGCTTGTGAAATCATATTGCTACAATCACAACCGAGCGTTGGAGCCTCTATTTGCGGTAGCACCATCGTTAATACACTGCTGACCCGCTTTTCGAAAAGCAGATGAAATTGATAGAATACATAAGAGTGCCGCTTGGTTCCAAGCACAGTGCGACCAAGTTTAGGTGGTGGAGGAGGCAACTAATTACCACGAGACCATCCAACTAATACGCGTCAGAAGTATTAGGAAAGCATCCGCCAGTGAGGCAGTCAGCTTCCGTAGAGATCGACATTATTTCGTTGGGCAAAGAATTCCCGGCCCAATTAGCATTCTGCCCTGAGCTGTTCGAAGATTTGGCGCTGCAGTGAACATGAAAACTATGCTTCTAAGAGAAGTACTCGTACTAGAGGCATCGATAATCATAGCACTAAAACAACACAGCATACTGACGTCATCAACATTGATGTCGCCTGATAAACGTTGGCCGTTGTGAACACAGGTGAACAGCAAGGAGGTAAGCGTAGCTTTGAGAACCGCAAGTGAAAGCATATCAGCCCACACAAAGCCAACGGAATCAACGAGTTAAATGTTGTAAGAAAGACGCGGCAAAGAGTAGATCAAGCGCGGAATGCAAGTGACACCAAAAATCCCCACAGCTGGGTCACCTCAAAATTTGATGACGAAAGTTACGCCCGGCACAAATAAACGCACAACCCAAGCTCTTACCTGACAAGAAGAGCACAGAGAGCTTGGGTGAGCATGAAGCACAGAGTTCCTGGAGGATTTGTGCAGAACAGAAGTGGAGGAAAGAGGAGGAGTACAAGAGACCGGCAGGCTGAGTGGGTTTGGGATGGCACTGGAGGAAGGGAAGGGCGAGAACACTGACGACGAGGAAGTAGAGGGTGCTTTCCCTCTGGAGCGACTGAACAAAGCGGATCCCGCAGACAGGTACGTTTGAAAATTGGATTCGGTGAAAGCGCACACACCATCAATTATGTGAAGGAGTGACTCCAAATCGCTGGATAAATTATAATAAATCAGAAAAGGATGATGCGGAATAGCAAGACACCGGTGTCACAGTGCCAACACATCGGTATGGTCGTGAATAACTTGGATAACGAAAGAGATGTAATTGAAATTTGCGAAAATTAGATGACTGTAACCAGAAAATGACTGGATTACGAAGACTAATTTCAAGTAACATGGGCAGGTTAGTTACAGGAGGTTAGTAAAATGCACCTGAGGAAATGCGCGTGTCTCATTCCCACGTGAGCGCATGACGCAAATAAGTTGGTTTGATGGGCATAATATGCCTACATTCAATAAACTGACACTTGTAAAGCATTTGATGTATCAGTGAACCTATTAGACTTCCATTAGACCCATAACTAATGTGGGTAGTAAGCAATTTTCGACAAAGCGTATTAAAAACTGGTGAACTCAGCATGACTTTACTCGTGATGTAAGATTTCCTGTAGCGTGACTCTGGCTATGAAGTGACAAGAACCCATTAATTTGGATGATTAAGATACTGTCACCCAACACACATGTGACGCCAGCCCACCGACACCTTTATTGCTACCACAGCTTCTGCCAAGCTACAATTTTTTGGCACGTATTGAGGCTTACCGAGATCCCAATTGTTAGTGAATATTTGTGAAAAGAACATGAGACCATAGGTGAACAATTGTTTCCGATGATTCTCTTCAGACCATTACAATCATATTTAAGGGTAAAATAATGAAATGAAATCGACTCGTTGGCTCGAATTACATAGTTAATTAACGGTTCAGTGAGGGAGGCTAAAAGTTGACCTTTGACTTGACAGGTCGATTGCATGTTATTGAGCTTGATCTGTGGCAATCGACCTCAGCATCGTTCGTTCTAGCTGGCCAGCGAAGCTGTAAGGCATGGACCAATTTCTTTTTCGAGCATAATGAAGGTTGAAACAACCGAATGCAAATCGATTCAGCTGTCGCGAGCGCACGGAGGCGTAAACCTCTTGATTGATGCTGCGGGACCCTGTAAATTATCCCGAAGGCATGCTTTAGATCGACTTGGTGCCCCGTGTCAACAATATGGGCCAAAACGGCGCTGCTAATGGCCCCAGTTCCTCCTTGACGCAACCAGCGCGGGCAGGGCTCCTCCACGCGTTTGGACAAGTGCTGTGCCGTTCGACCAATATAAGTAGCGTCACAAACGCACTCGAACTGATAAATAACCATAGATGAGGTCAGCAATGGCAGCGTGAACAAACAAGTGGTTTAGTAGAAAGTGTACACTTTAATCTGGCTGCTGGGAATGTCGACTTGATTACCGCTGAAAGACTTTTGGTTAGGCGCTCGGTAGAGACATCCCCCTTAAAAGGTATTCTTAAAAATGGAGCCGTCTGGCCTCCTAGTTAACAAGACATCTAGCTACGGAAGCCGTTGCAAGTTTCTGCCTCGTAGGTAAATTGCAATGCTGAGACCGGTTAAACCGATCGAGAGCCTCATCCAGATTTATGCATTTATCCGCCACTATAAATATATCATCCATATAACGATGGTAGTAATCAAAAGATTTTATCTCCGCTTGCAATTTTGTTCGCTCCAATTTGGCCATGAATATATCTGCGAACAATGGACCGAGGGGGGATCCCATGGCTACACCATCCTTTTGCCGGTAAAATTTACCATTAAATAGAATTGCACATTCCATGTGCACCGCAGTAATACGTTTTTCAACTCAAGCACAGGTATGCAAATCTTAATTTCCAATTTCGTTATCTGCTCGCAAATGTAATTGATGGTTTCGATCAGCGAAACGTTAGTGAAAAGCGAGACAACATCAAAGGAAAGCATCACTTTCTCATTAATTTTGGCCTCCTTGATGCTCTCGACAACCTGAAAACTGTCACACAGGCTGTAAGTCACAAGCTGTTGTCTCACTGGCTTAAGAATTCCTACAAGCCACTGGTCAACGACGTGGCACGGGGAGTTAACCATTGACAGAATAGGACGAAGCGGGATGTCGGCCTTATGGATTTTTGGCAAGCCCTAAAGTCTCGGAACGTTTGTGCCACAAGGTCTAAGACTGTTATACAGTGCATCGGTTATATACCCCTTAGCCCGAAGCTGTTGGAGGCTTTTAGTGATCTGTCTCTCAATCTGTTCCGTTTGGTCAGCTTCCCTCGTGTCGCAGGAAAGCTTCGTCTTATCGCTCAGAATGGTTGTGAGTTTATCAATATAGTCTTTTCTGTCTAATAACACAATACCGGCACCCTTGTCCGGTTTGCACAGAATGACCTCCTCATTGCGTTTAAGCTCATTCAGTATGTCTAGGTGCTTTCTTGTTAATGGACCACAATTATGGACACGATGTTTATGATATTTATAGTAACAATGTACCAAGGAGCACTTAAAGCGTTCGATATCCATATTAGACGTAGGTGTTAACCCATTTGGTCATATAGGTTTTCGAATTGCAACTCGTAATGAAGTTGGTTGTCTCTACGACTAGGTGCACAAAATTTCAAACCTTCAATTAAAATTGTATCCAGTTTCACGCTAGAAAAGTTGTGCACGTACCTTGCGGGCTTGTTCGGAAACACAGCTTGCGGCTTTATCTGGCTCGGCGTTTTTTCTAAAGCCGAACGCCTCCGATGTACACGATAACTGGTAATAGACTGGACATAATCCAAGAACAATTGATTTTCGTCTGCGGCTAAATCATCCGTTGCTACGTGGCGTTGTGTTAAATTCCATTCGAATTTCACTATCTTCGACTGCACCGTATCACGTTGGTTAAGCGCATGTCGTCTAAGCGTCTTACTATTAGGATAAATCCGATTACGACATAGCTGCTTCCAAAATCTAGCGGGATACTCATCCTGCTCAACACACTCATCGAAAAATTGAACAATGGTTTTGGCTTCAGCAAGCTTTGTGGAAAACCTCAGGAACTGATTGAGCTTTCACCACTAAAGGAGGCTTGGATAATTTAAGCAACTTGAGAGAGTTTGGCGAGAGTTTGCCATAAACTCTCACCCTGCCCGAACTATGCGCGTACAGCGCTTTGATAATGTTTAAATATTCATCAGGCACACCTTTCCTCAGCAGACAGTCCCAAAGGGCACATCGATCGACTGAATCGAAAGCACCTTTTATGTCAAGAAACACGACAACGGTGGGTCGCCAATAAACATGGCGGTGCTCCAACAATCGACGCAATGTGAAGATGTGGTCGATGCAGCACCGACCTCGACGAAATTCGGCTTGCTATTCACGAATCTGGCTTTCACGAGTGCCAGTCAGTCTGTGGAGAATGACAGAGGCAAGCAATTTAGAGGCAATCGAAATCAGACTGATCCCTCTGTGATTGCTGCATTCCAAACGAGAGCCTCCCTTGAAAATTGGGACAATGACAGAGCGGTTCCAGTCTGTCGGGTCTGTCTCCTGCTCCCAAAGTTTTACTAGCAACTCGTGTACTACTACTAGAGCAGGTCCCCCGAATTTGAAGAGGGCGGGGGGAATTCTATCTGCCCCTGCGGCCTTATGCAATTTCAACAGCCTGATCTCATGTTCGACTTCTGCGCGTGATGGCGGATACAAGGAGATGGCCCAAGGAGAAGGGCGCTCAATGCCCGAAGAAGAAAGCGATAACTCAGGTTGGTTAAATTGCCTTGCAAAGTGTTCAGCCCAACGCTCCAAATGTTTTGACAAGCTGTGGATCGGCTGCCCACTCTCGTCGCGCATGGTCTCGCTAACACCAGGTCTCCTGCTGCCTGTTTCCCGTATCAGACGGAAGAACTTACGATGATTACCAACGGCAGCGGCTGTTTCCATCTCAGAGGCACGATGAGACCACCAGGTTTCGTGGTCCTTCCTAAGGCTAGAACGTAGTTTTGCCCTGAGATTTTTGCGAGCCTCATTGTATTCGCTTCCAGCCGGAATACGTCAGCGAGCATCCATAAGTTCCAGAGACTGTGTAGAGACCCAATGTCCGGCTTGGCAATTTGCTGTGCCACATGAAGACATGCCTGCTAACAGCAACGCTTGACGAATATGTGACCAGTGATCTTCAACGGTGTTTACTGGGCGCTTACTCAGCCCAGATGTCAGCGCACTTTGGTACACATTCAGAACATCTGGCTTCGCCAGCTGGCTGGTGTCAATCCGTTCGCTTCGACGTTGCGGACGTCCACCGAAAAGCACCAGGAAGTCGGCACAGACAAGTGCGTGGTCAGAGTCCACGCTCGTGCTCCAAATCGAGCAATAGTTTTGGACACAGCCTCTCCAACGGTAACTGATCGCGAAATGATCGATTTGCGTCCATGGTTGGCCCGAGGCTGGTGGCCGTCAAGTCACGCTTCTGCGGGTGCTGTGTCGAAAGTTAGTGCTCGCGAGAAAGAGGCGAGCATCTGCACACAGCTGTAGCAATCGCTCACCATTATCATTACGGGAGCCTACACCATGTTGGCCGCCCAGATGAAGCTCATCAGAGGACAATTTTCCGATTTGCGCGTTTAGATCGCCAGCCAACACCACAGTATCCGTGTTTCTTCTGTAACGAAGAAGCTCGTGAAGTTGCTGATAGAAATCATCTTTTACCGGATCCGTGCTACAGTTTGTAGGGGCGTAAGCCGCAATGGCAAACAGGCACCGTTTGTCCCTGCACGACTTCGTAGCACGGAACGAACCAGCTAATCTAACGGCGCACATTCTACTGTTTACTGGGATCCAATCAATCAGGACAGCTTCAGCCTGGGGACTCAAAACAATGCCGACGCCAGCTTGACCGGCATTTGAAGCTGCATCATCGCCAGACAGGCGCAATGAGAATGTGCCGCCAGTGTCGCATGTGGGGGATATCAGGGTAAGCACGGAGCTCGAACCTTGCAGGCGGGTTTCTGGTAAACAGCAAATATCGATCGATAGAGTCTCTGGTGTGCGGGCAAGTGCTGCCTGTTGGCCAATCTGCAACAAAGTGCGCGCGTTGAGGCATGCCAGTCTTAGCGAGACACGAGGACTCCAAAGG